AGATAGGGGAGTTACCTGGACTATCTTGGAGCTCGGTTCAGCAAATTTTAACAGAAGATTTGGGGATGAGAAGGGTTGCTTCGAAATCTGTGCCTCAGGTTCTGACTGACCAGGAAAAAGAGCGTCGAGTGGAAACATGCCATGCTTTGAAAGAATAGCTCTGAAGCGACCCAGACTTTTTTTTGCAAGGTGGGCAAGGTGTGTTATTCTTACAACCGTAAGCAAACATCAGTCAAGCCAGTGGGAGATGCCATTGTTGCCCGATGAAGCACGTAACTATCCTCTAGTTCTTTAAGGTTTCCTCCCCTTACTGTTAAGGTCTTTATGTGCTATACCTCATTAATCATGTTAAGTTTCCACATGTTCATTTGTATATTTAATATTGCTCGGTGCATGATAGTCAAGACAGACGACCCCTCAGAGACAGCCACAAGAGTGATGGTCCCCCAGGGTACAGGAAGTGAGAGGGAGGGAAGGTGGGGGAGGGGGGAGTTGATGGCATTGATGGTTGTATAACCCCACCCAATGGGATTGAACGGCAGGACTGAAGGGAAGGAAAGGGATATATTGGAATAAGTAAAATATGTCAATAAATATATTGTATAAAAAGAGAAAATGGAACCCTGGTCCTGATCCCGCTCAGGATTATGGGTTGCATTTTGTTATTATTTATCTTGGAGATGTTAGTTGCCATTGAGTCAGTTCTGATGCCTGACGACCCAAAACTCCCTGCTACTGAGTCGGTTCTGATTCGTAATGTCTCCCATGTAGCCTTTTCAAGACTGAATCTTTACGGGAGTAAACGGTTTCTGTGTTTCTCTTGAGGAGCAGCTGGTGGGTTTGAACTGCCGGCCTTGCAGTTAGTTTATCCCAATGTACTTTAATTTGGAATAGTTCCTTAGTCTTTCTTTGCCTTTCACGGTATTTTTAAAGGATAAATCCCAGTTACTTTATGTATTTTAGATGGGATTTTAATCTGTTCTCGGTGAGTTTACACAGCAGATTAGACACTCCCATTGGACAATTTCTACGTACATTATTCCGTGACCTCTGTCGCCGTTGTCACAGTGGACCAACCTTCTCTTTCAGTCCATTTGATTTCCCTGCCCCCTGACCTGCTCTTTTTTGCTGTGGAGTAATTGTTGACCATTTGGTCTCCCACAAATGATTTAAAAAAATAGTTTCATTGACATGAAGCACACATCATGCACTTCAGTAGTTCAGTCATATGCAGAGAGCTGTGCAATCATCAGCTCAGCCAGTTCCAGAACAGTCTCTTCCTGCTTGTTCTCATTGTTATTAGTCCCCACTTCCCCTCAACCTCTCCTGCCGCACCCTCAATAAACCATTAACCCGCTTACTCTCTCTGTGGATTTACCTCTCCTGGATTTCTTATATGGAAAAACATACTGGAAAACCCAGCAGACAAACTACATCGATAACAGAATAAACCAGAGAAAAACCTCAAGTGAAAAGAAATCAGGAAATATTAAACATTAGAATGAATTTAAAATGAGTCAAAGGGGAGATCAAATGATAAGGTGTTCGATTTTAACCTAACTGGACCTACAACAATCCCCTTTTCAATGCTCTCTGTCTGGAAGCGAGGGGTTCACATCCCTGGTCTAGGTCAGCGGGGACCCTCTGGAAGCTTAATCCACGTGTATTTCCCCTGCACTTGTTTGCAGATGATTTTGTTGTTGGCTTTTTCGGGAAAAAAAAGCTTCATTGTGAATTAGATGAAGGTGTACAGATAAGCTCATAGTTTTACATTCAACAATCATATACATTTTGATTCCACTGTAAAGGAACACAGTACTCTTTATTGTAGGAGCTGCTCTGTTAGACAGCTAAAAAGTAACCTCAGAGACTAGTTTTGGTTCAAGGCGTCAAGAGTATTGCCCGACCATAGCTGGGGGAGTCCTTCAGTCTCAGCCAGTCCAGCGAGTCTGGACTTCTAAGAATTGGAGTCACACCAGCGATTGGATAGTCTGTTCCTTAGTTTCCATTTGACTCTTATTTAGTGGAATTTGTTGTGATTCAACTTTCATGTCGTGGGATTTGCCGTGATTCAACTCAAGTTCACGTTTGTGGCTAGACAAGAGATGCCGTGTCGGGGGCACCGTGCAGGGGACACACGGTGTTGCTTTTCCTGGCGTGAGGGCCTTCCCCTTTGGAGTGAACAAGTATCTGTCTGGGGAGCTGCTTTGAAAGCTGCCCATTTTAGCACCTGCGTATGCTGACGGCCTTCACCAACAATTACCACAATTACCACTGTGGCTTAGCAAAGAGGTCTCATGGAAATCCCACCCATGGTGAGGAGACGCTCTAGGGTGGAGCAGCCAGATGTGTCCAGAGAGCTGAGGTGAAAGGGAGCAGCCTACTCAGCTGGGCTAAACCCAAGACAACATGTGAAAATTGTTGACATGGCAAATATTTTGGTACTTGTATATGTACATGCAAATGCAAAAACAACAAACCAACCACCTACACCAAAGTATGACGGCTAGCAATGGACCCGACCCCTGACTTCTGCAGACTGCGTCTCCCTTCTCCAGGAAGGCGCGTGTCTCCCCAGCCCACAATGAAGCGGTCCTGTGTAAGTCTGCTGGGAACCGAAGGCAGAGAGGTTCTGCAGGTAGAGCACTGGCTCTGTTTCTGTGTTCGTCATAAAAAGCAGACCCCGCTCCCTGAAACAGCTTGATTCCTCAACCTGGACTGAGCCTTTAGGCCCAAATGTGACTCTATAGGTTAGTCTGTTCTTTGTAGGCAAGGTTGGCAGGGAACGATGCAACCTACAGAGAAGCCTGGCCCTAAGGGCGGAGGATCTCAGGGGCCGGGCCGACGGTATTTCATTAGATCTCGCCCTTCGTGGTCCTGCCTGCGTCTGAGAGGTCTAAAGCTTTACTTCATGTATCGCTCCTTCCCAAATGTGCTCCAGGTAGTGAGTTCTGTGTGTGTTGCTACTGAATTCCCTGGATGAGCCTGAGACAGGCACACTCCACTGATCTGGGAAGAGCAGCCATTTTTGATCCTGACCCCTGGAGTGCCTGCATTGTGGGGCCCAGCATGTCCTTTACCTTGACGACCTTCACAGGGTAGATCAGGGAATGTCAGTGCCCAGGCAGGTGCCGTCCAGTCCCAGCTTCCCCTCCCCTCTCCGTACTTGTCTTCTCAGAGTAAGCAGGCCCATGGGGTCTCTGAAGAACACTAGGGGTGGGAATGGCAGGAGCGGTGGTGGGTCCCAGGCTGATTCTGCCCTCTTTGTCTGCTTACAGCTGCCCCAGGAGAAGTCCTGCAAGAATGTGCTGTCTTGTGACGCTGAGTTACAGTTGGACATCACCGCCCATCCGTGAGTTGGATCCGGTCCTCACGGTTTCAGTAGTTAACGGAAGGCTTCGCCCGGAAGTGTTACCTGGGCAAGACCTTCCCCAGGGCTGATTGTTCCCTCCCTCCCACTCTCCCCTCAAAGCCCACAAAGGAGTTTCCCATTGATGATCTGAGTGCATCCTCAGCCACCCTGGGAGGGAAGCAGGGTAGGAAGTTGTGTTTCCTTTTTATAGACGAGGAAACTGAGGCTCAGTAGTTGTGGGGTCACAATGGCCACTTTAGAGACTTTAGACCCAGGTTTCTTGACATCACGGACGTTGGTCGCTCTTTTCCTCTCTCCCAGGGCCGCTTCTGTGGGAGGTGATTTCTTCGCCGGCTCACTTCCGGCCAGGTCCATTCATCTGTCCAATGTTTACTGAGCATCTACTCTGTACCGGGCACTGTTCTAGGCGCTGGAGATCCATCAACGGACAACACAGGCCAAACCCCTGCCCCTCTGGTGCTTTTAGGGAGAGAGGATGCGGCAGAAGTCAACGACAGAATACGTTGATGGGATGTCCTATATGGCAAACCAAGGCAGGGGAGGTGGGGGTGGAGGGGCCCATGGAGAGGCAGCAGTGGGGGAAAGTGCTCTGTGGATGTCGGAGGGGAGAGGAGACTGGGGCAATGCCTGGCAGGTGGGAGGAATGGCAGGGCACCGGTGTGGCTGGGAGAAGGAGTGGGGTGGGGAGGAGTAGAAAAATAGGTCCGGGAAGCAATGTTGGGGTGGGAAGTCTTACACGGGGCTTCCTAGGCCCTCCTTAAGGGCTTCTGCTGGGAGCTGGGGGGCCAAGAGGAATGGCATTTTAACAGAATCACTCTGGCTGCTCTGCTGAGGATCCAGTGTTCGGAAGCAGCATGGGGCCATTGTAATTGCTCAAGTGAGAGATGATGGTGGCTTGGGTCAGGGTGGTAGCTATAAAGCTGGCTGTCCAGGTTGACGTTAGAGCTGCCAGCATTTGCTGATAGATCGGACATGGGGAGTGAGAGAGAGAGGGTGTCCTCAAAGGTTACAGCCTAAGCAACTAGGACTGTGCTGTCCAATGAAGTGGCCACCAGCCAAATTTGGCTGATATTTAAATGAAGTAAGATGGAAGAAAGTGAAACGTTGTGGTGGTCAGCGGTCCGTCTCAAGTGCTCAGAACCCACGTCTGGCTTGAGGTATCGGACAGTGCGGCTACAGAATGTTCCCGTCGCTGCAGGAAGTTCTCGTGGACCATAGAGTTCTAGACTAATGGAGACATAAGTCATAGAACGGGGGAAGCCTTTGGTTTCAGGAAGGAGGGTGGCGACCAGGACTTTGGCTTTGGGTCTGTGTTTCTCTGAAGATGCCCCCCATCCACTAATTGTGTGTAGGAGCGACATGGTGCTGGTGATCATTAGCCGGACAAAGCTGGCATGGATGAGGAAGAATGCTGGTGCCCGAATCCTGGGAAGCCTTCACACAGGCGTGAGCAGGAACTGGGTTTCAGATGTGGCTGGCTTAAGGATGCCCTTTCTAATCACTGAGGACCCAATTCAAGGCATTCGAGTGGTTTGGAATGAAGCCTAACAAGCAGATGCAGCTGTTTCCAACAAGGAATTAATTATAGCCAAGCCTCGGAGGGCTCTAAATAGAGCACATGCAGATTGCTGCACACCGCCACCTAGTGGGCACAGCAGGCGCATCTCGTCTATTCAAAAGCGGCCACGGAGCCTATGGTCAGCACCCACCTGAACCTGTCCTCCGAAAGAACGCTCCGAGGCCCTCTCCCTGGAAGGTCGCATGTGATGCATTCAGGACCCTTTGAAATGGTCCCCCGGGGCTGCAGGTTAAGAATCCTTGCTAAATAGTCTCATAGCTCTCAGTTCTCTCTCCTGGGCTCTGGTCAAGCTAATGTGTGCTATCCAGAAGTCCCTGGCAGCTCCAACCCACACCGGAGAACAGGCCTGGAGGTCTGGTTCCTTGAAATCCCCGTGGAGCGGTTTTACT